TTTTTTTTTTTTTTTTAAAATTGTGTAGACATACAAATTTGAATGTGTTTTCTGATGTATATCACCCATTATAGTATATATATATATCTATATAGATGTATAAACAACCACTCCAATATTTGATTTTGTTTGTTTGTTTTGGATATGTTTGCGAACGCGCGCGTGCTTTTGCTCTCTCGTAGGCATATTATGAGAATGACGATGATAATAATGCATCAACAGCCTCATCACCTGGCGGACAAGGGTGGGCACAGCGGGTCAAGGGCTGGTTTAGTTCGGTACGTTTTCCTCAAATTTCCTCAAATTTCAATTTAAAAAATAAAAAACAACCAAAGAAAAAAACCACACACCAAATAATAATGTTAAAAATAAATGTTCTTCTTCCCTATATTTTGTGTGTCAAGAAATTGGAAATAACGAAAGTAAACAAAAACAAGAAAAGAAAGAAAAAAATTAAAAGAAAGCTAAAGCACAAAAACATTGATTGCCTTTGAAGTTTTTGTGTCCTTTATCCTTTCCAATCGATAATGAAACGAATGAAGAAGACCGCTCATAAGCCGCCTACCCTTTGTGCTCCCAACTGAAAAAAAAAAAAAAAAAATATCTGCAAAGTATCTCTAAACATGCTTACACAATTTGCCAATTTATTTGTTGCTTCTACATGCACCGAACCGATCTACATACATACATACCGATTGATTTTATTATTTGTTAATTACTCGCCCAGAAATTCAATCCAATCGATCCCCGAGCCGAACCGAACCGAACCGAAGCGAACCGAACCGAACCGAGTGTCATATAAAACCAATATGCTATACAATACACCCTATAAATACCAAAAGAACTCTGCTGCCCATATTGTAGGCTGTTGCTTGGAGCTGTTTTTTTCCTCTTCGCTTTATTGTTGATGTTTTCTTGTTGCTGCTGCGATTCGATTTCCTCTTTCTATTTGAACTTGAATTGAAAACTTGAATTGAACTTTCCCTCTATGCAATCAATGCAATCTCTTTCATTTGGATTGACATTTTGATTAATTGATGCTCTCCTTTTGGTGCTTAGGGCTCCGATAAGAAGAAGAAGGCCGGAAAAGCCACTGAGCTGCCTCTGGAGGTGTCCACACACGGTTTCAGCCCCGTGGATCTGAGCAACTACACACAGCAGGAGGCCAAAATGATTGGCAGCGACCTGAAGGAGACCGAGCGCATCGACGCCAGAAATGCATTAGAGGAGTTTGTCTACGATATGCGCAATAAGCTGCAGGTATGTAGCTTAATCAGTGGCACTCAGCTCTAGGCTAACATTTCTATATTATTTTCTATGCTATTCAATTTAGGGGGGACCCTTGGAACGGTTTGTGCTGGAGACGGAGCGCGAGGCTATTGTGTCGCAGCTGAATGATCTCGAGAACTGGCTGTACGAAGATGGCGAGAACTGCGAACGTGAGACTTATGCCAACCGTCTGGACGCGCTGCGTAAGAAAACGGACCCCATCAAGCAGAGGGCCAACGACTACGATCAGTGTCCGGCCGTGTTTGAGGAGCTGAAGGGCAGCATTGCCATTGCCCGCCTGGCGGTGGCCGAGTTCCGCAAGGGTCTGCCCAAATACGATCACCTGACGGAGACCGAGTTCATCAATATCTCGGAGACTGCGGAAAAGGCCCAAAAATGGCTTGATGTCAACTTGGCCAAGTTCACGCAGTCGCCACGCACGGCAGACAGTCCCGTCCAGCTGGCAGCCGTTCGCTTTGAGGTGCAGTCTCTGAATGCCTGCGTCAGCTCGGTGGTCAACCGTGCGAAACCGAAGCCGGCTCCGACCAAGACGGCGACACCGCCCAAGGATGCCGAGGCGAATGCAGAGCAGAACGGAGGCGAGCCCACTGGCAAGGCCGGCGGCAAGATGGACATGGACAACAACGCACAGAGTGCGTCCGATCACAATATGGATGTGGACTGATGTGTGGGCCACACCAACCTGTGGCTGTCCGCCTATCAACGGTATTGGCTAACAATAATAATAATAATAATAACGATAATTTAACTGTCAACATATATGAGAGAACATTGTATATGCACGCGCTTCAGGACTAGCATACAATACAATACAATACAATACAAGCCACGAAAAATCTACACAATCAAGGAACAGAAACAGAAACAGAAAAAAAAAACAACCAAAACATCCAATATAAATATATAAGAACAATCTGCTGCATGATGTGTGGGTATTGCAACACAACACAAAAATTAACATAAAACAATTTCTAATCGACCATTTTTCATATACTTGAATAACAACAACAACCAAGCGACACTAAATGGATGGAATTTAAATAATCAAATAAAACAATGATGATTCCAAATAACCAACACGGTTTTCTTTCTCTTAGTAAAATCCGTCTCAGTAGAGCTTCGGCGGAGCAGAAAGCAGAGCCCAAAAAATATGCTCAATCAATTTTTTCCATACTGTCTGCTCACCGAAAGGACAGAGACAAATTAAGCAGAGCCGCTCACTCTTAATAGAACACACATTTTTCTTAGTCTCGTGTTTTCTTATTCATGCTAATCGTCGGGAGAAACACAAGCAGCTCTCCTACGAAGACAGTGTCCTTCGGCGCTCAGCAGCTGAGAATCTGCAACTGAGCAAAACGAGCCAAGTGGAAGCACAAGTGTAAAGCGTGAAAAAAGAAGGGAGGAAGAGACACACACAACACATACATTTGCAAGATTTGCCCAAAAATACCCTCGTTGGTGGAGCAAAGACCACGTTGACAACAAACGAAGTTCAAGTTTCTTTTCGACTCTGGTTTTAATCGTGTCCGAGGGCAACAGTTTCTTATGACTGCCTGCAAAGAGGGACCACTTGCGAGCTCTATCTAAAATGTCTAGTTTTCGTGTTATAACCTAGTGTCTTGTATATAACATTCGTCTGTAAGTTGCCTTGAAAGCCTTTAATGAAGAAAATAATCCATGCTGTTATGGAGATATTAGGGATTTGCAGAGCGGTTGCAAATGTAGATTTTAGCTGTCTCAAACATTTTACGAATACCGGATAACGTAGATGTGCTTTTATAATTTTTTTAATCAGACTTGCCACATTTCTTATAAAGTCTTACTTACGATAGGGTGAATAGTTTATTTAAGAGTGCACACAGAGTCTCGGCGCAGTACCTGAGTACACAGCCGGGAGCTCCGGCAGGACCAGGGGAAAACACTGGCCCAACTAGTCAAAGCAGCGAGCTTTAATTTTTCATGCTAAATGGTTTTCAATGTTTTTTTTTTTGGGGAGTCCCACAAATATGCGCTGAACGTTTTCTGTGTGCTACTGCATGTCCCATGACTAGTAGTGGCGCCTTCCAAACTTTAAATATTCTTTGGTTTTTTTGTTTTTCTTAATTTATTTTGATATGGCACCCCCATACTGGAGGCACCCGAGGCCTTGGAGGTCGTGGAGCTATTCAGTAAGATCTGAAAACTTTAAATATTGAAATTGTTGTTGTGCTGCGCTGCTGCTGCTGCGGGATACCCAAATACAAACAAATGGGTGAGGGTCAATGTGATGACCCGCCTCGCCGTACTTGGAGGCTAGCACCCGGCCATTGATGTTCACATAGGCCGAGAGCACGCCCACACCATGGCCAAGAGATCCACCCCATCTAGAACAGGTGAGATTGCTGTAAAATATTTAGAAGCGAATATGAATAAGTCGCCGGCGGTTGTATATCACTGGGATGGAAAGTTCTTACCAGATCAGCCAAAGATGCGGAAAGTTTCGATGGACGTGCCGATCCCAATTCTGTAACCTTCCAGTTCAACTTTTTCTCGGAGTAGCACGAAGCCGATCATCCGAACCAGCAGTTCCCACAAAACCATCTAATCGAACAGCACCCGCAAAGCCACCCAATCGAGCAGCCCAGCTCCAGCACCACCCGCAAAACCATCACTGGCCATGGTCTCGGCTGCGGCACCGAATTCGGTGTCCAACTCTGATTGAATCCGTTTACAAATTAAAAGATTTTATCCAGAGTTTGATTGCTGCGTGCTTTGGTCGCATTTAGGCTGTCCAGCAGCTTTTCCAATGTTATCGGGGTAGAGACCTTGTGGCACTCTTCGGCCGTTTTGGAGGAAGACAATCCGCAAGCAGGTTCTCCAGAGTTCAGGTTTCTTCGTATAATTCTTCACCTCAGGCATGAAGAATACCCCACAGAGGATAACGAAATAGACCGACGGGCACAACCAACAAATTTGGTCAAATACGGCTTTAGTGGGGATCACCACCCTTCTTGCACTTCGACTTGCGGGACTTGCTGCCTGTCTTTGACCAGCTTTTCTTGGACTTCCGGCTTTTGCCTTTCTTGCAAGCGGACTACCTGCGCATAGGCTTGCCCCAGCTGCGCTTACTTTTACGCTTCATGCCACAGTCCAGCTGTCCTACTGTCTAAAGCAGGCTTGCCTAATCGGTGCTATGGAGCTTGCAGATCGATAGTCGGACCGACGATACCGGGCTCGGTGTTCTGGGGACATCGTCCTTCAACACTGCTCCGCGACGTTAACAAAGGCGTAAAAAAAGACAAAACCGATTTTCTCAAATTTAAGGTAAGGCTTATCGGTCTGGCAAACTAGTGGCTCATATGGCCACACTTCCTGCCTTTGGGAGGAAGCAATCCGCAAGCAGGTAATCCGCCTCGTTGGTCCTTGTTCTGCAATTGCAGCTGCTTCAGTGCTCGGTCCCCAAGCTTCCACTGCGTTGCCGTCATCGTCATGTTCTTGTCGCTGCGTTCGATCAGGGCCACAATCAGATGTCTCTGGGACACTTCATTCATGTTGGCTTTCTGGGCGTCAGGGATTCATCGTCGTCTTTGGCTGAGGGGGCTGAGTGTCTTTAGCAGCACTCACGAACGAGCGTTGCCAATTGGTAGCCAGTATCTCCTCCAACTTGTTGGCGAGTCCGCCATTTGACGCCTGCATCTCTGGCAGCTGCGCGAAGTACAAAGATGTACTGCTTAACTTTGCTATTAACTTTATTGGCGCTTACAAGACGATAAAAACTCGTTTACAAAGAGGAATGCGAATGCGGTTTGGTGTTCGAAGCTTGGCGTGAATACAATGGATAGTATCTAATAGGAATTAGGCATACATATATGCAAGTCGGCTATGACTAGTGTGTGGAGAGCTCGTGCTCAGTGCTCCTGCTCTTCGATTCGATCCAATTTAATTATCAAAGCGTTGATTATGCAGGCACCAGCCTCTTTGGTGAACCAGCAGAGATCGTTTAGCAGATGCACCGACGATTCGCTGGGGGCAGGTGGCGAGGCGCCGCTATCGTGGGCTTGGCCCTGGACCGAACCCGATCCTGACTCGTGATCGGCAGAGCCCATGCTGCGACGCTTGGCCTCGGCCGCCGCCCTGCCGGTGGTCACTCCAGAAATGGACTGGCGACGGACATATACTTCGAAGGAGGTGGAAATGCGGTGCAGTCCCTGCTCGGACACATAGTGGTGCTGCGGCAGCACGGGCTCAATGACCGTGGCGTTGGGGGAGTAGTACAGCTCCAGCCGTGTGCCCGGCTCATCCTTGTGCGTGCCCGCAGCTGCTGCAGCGGCCGTTTCCTCGTCGGCATCTGTTTCCAGCGGCAGCGGTTGGCCGCGATCCAAGATGGCCCGTATCTTGTCCACTCGCGTCATGTAATAGAATGGCAGCCAGTCCCCGTTGAGATCGAAATGAACCTGGGCGGCTGTCGACGAAGAGCCGCCGCTCGCCGAAGCTGCTGTCACGGAGGTGCTCAATACGTTCACCGTCTGCTGGTTGAGCTTGAAGTAGACCCAGCCCTCCAGTTTGTCGCCGTTCCCATTGCTGGGTCCACTGCACTTCAGACAAAAGCAAATCGGCTCCAGGCGGCTGTCGAAAAAGGCCTGCGGCAGCACCAGCGAGGCACAGAAGCGCCTCACCTGCCGCAGATACTCGCAATCGTTCTGCTCCAGGCTCGCTGCGTTTGCGGAGCGCAGAGACTCGGCTCGAAGTTGGGCGGACGAGTTCGTATCCGACTCTAGCGAATTGAGGGAAGGCAGATTCAGATCCAAGTTCAACAGCGATGTCTGATCCGGCATCAGGTGGTGGCGCGTGTACTCGTTCTGTTGCAACTGTTGCAGCAACAACAAATGGTTCATGTAGTCAATCTCGTCGTCTTCCAACACATTATCGATTGATCCCGCTGGCTCCCCCGACAGTTCTCTCAGTTCCCTCTCATGGCTGCCGACTATTTCCACCGCCTCGGCATTGTTCTCGCTCTGCTCTGTGGCCGACGTTGTTGATGTCGTCGCTACCGCCGCTGTCGACCCTTCATCGACAGAGGTCGAATTCGTCAAGGCGGGATTCGGCAGCTCGTCGTACTCCTTATTGGTATCGTACACACTTGAGTTGCTCAGGTGCTGGGCATTGCCCGCGGAGCCACTGGCCCCCCCACTGCCTGCTGTTGCTGCGGTCGTGGAGCTATTCAGTGAGTTCTGAAAGCGTTGAGTGCTCTGACTGCGTTGAATATTCAAGTTGGTGTTGTGCTGGAGCTGAAGAGACTCGCGCAGGCAGCTGTCCAGAGTAAATATAATGAGAAATAGACAACAAAAACCGGATTTTTCTCACCAAGTCGATGAGGATCCACCCATTTCGTTTCTCTGCTGCTCCAAAGTGCGATTCTTGATGGAAATGTTCAGAAGTAGATTCTCGGATACGCTCTCCATAACCGAACGTGTCCTGCATGCAAAAAATAAAAATAAATCAAAATTGAATCCATGTAGATCGCATATAGCCTGCCACTCACATGGCATTCGAGGGAGCAGCCGATGTGGACGGACCATCTCGGGCAGATTCGCTCATCTGCTCCGTATCCTTCTCCTTTTCGTGCATCTCCAGGTGCGCCTTCTCGCACTGCTGCGGCATGCCAGCATTGTCCAGCTCCAGGGCCTCGGGTGCCTCCAGTATGGGGGTGCCATTGGCGTTGCCATTGCGCGCGGCATCGCTTCCCGTTATCAAGGTGATCTTCTCGCATTTTCCATACACATCAAACACGGGATACACATGATTGGGCAAACCGCTGGCCAAATCCTCCAGGTTCGTTGACCCAACCATAATGACTAAAAAAAATACAAATAAATATATCCCAAAATCCCTGCAAACGACTTGACTGGCGCACTCACTCAACATTCCCGCATGGGTGAGGGTCAATGTGATGACTGTTCCCACTTGGATTTGGTCCAGAGCCTCGCCGTACTTGGAGGCTAGCACCTGGCCATTGATGTTCACATAGTCGTGGGTGGCCAGCCAGCAGCTGCGCTTGAAGTCCAGCAGGGAGATGGGCAGGGTGGAGGGGCAGGCCGAGAGCACGCCCAGTCCCAGGGTGCCCTTCCACTTGTTGTTCAGGGCATCCACCTTGATGCTGATGCTATCGCCCTTGCACAGTGGCTTGTTCAGGCACACCATGGCCTGATTGTAAGACTTTGATCTCGCCGCACTGCGACGATCCTCGCTGAGACGCGCATTCTTCTGAGTTATGTCCACGAACTCGTAGTTCTGAGCCTCAGAGTCGATCGACTCGAGCATGGAGCTGTCCTGCTTATTGAGCGGGTCGATGCCAAAGTCCATCGAGTCCTGCAGCCGCAGACTGCAGGGCCGCAGTGGAGAGGCCGGCCCCTGGGCGGAGATCACCTGGACCCCCATTGTCGAGCCACGCAGCTCGGCCACCACGTACACATCGTTGGGTATGTTCTGGAATTGTATGTTCACGTTCTCCGAGTTGAGCAGCATGTTCAAGGAGGAGTTCTCGACGCGCTCCAGCGTGATGCGATCGTCCACACGCAGCCACTCGAGCGAGGCCAGCGACCGCTGCAGGCAGCTCGAGTTGAAGCTAACCTCGTTCCCAGTCACATACCAAACGTTGGCCGGAATGCGCTTCAGGCTCGTGGGCAGCTTCTTGCGCACGCTCTCATCGCTGAGGTTCAGATCCGTGACCCCAATGCTGAGGCAGCCCGCAAAAATGGGATTAATGGACGTCAGCTTGATCTCAAAGGGCGAGCCCACGCTCAGCGGATGCTCGGAAAAGACCAGGCAGTGGGAAAGGGCGGCCGTGGAGCCAGTGAAACGGGAAGCCTCGGTCCAGTCCTTGGTCAGGCTCACGTTGCCGGAGACACAGGTCCAGCGGTGCTTCGTCTCCATGGCGGGGTGCTGAATAACCGAGGTGGCCTGGCAGCTCTGCGAATTCTCACTGGTGGCATACGGGGCACGGATGTCCAGCTGGTTCTGTGTCAGACTGACCTGCGCACACTGCCCGTACAGGTCGATGATGGCCCAGATGTTGGGGGCATGGCACTCGCAGGCCGGGCCCTGGTCCATGCCATCCACAAAGAAGTGGATAAAGTCCCCGTTGCGCATCACGCCCACCCGGGTGCTGGGTCCCAGGGTGTCCAGATCCAGGAGGATATTCGTGCGTATTGTCTTGCGATTGTGAAAGATCATGGGCCCGCACAGGATGATCGTATCGTTGGCCTCCAGATCGGTGGCATTAGGCGCCAGTTGGATGTCCTCCGGGCGCGTGCCCGTCACCCCAATCTCTATGTTGCCCGACCAATGCCGCACCATCGTCTCCAGCTCCACTTCGAAGAGCTCGCGCTGCCGCAGCGGCCGATTGCTGAACACAATCGCATCATTGAACTCGGCCAGCGAATTGGGGCGCGAGGCGGTCAGGCCGCTGTTCGAGATGCCCGCATTCGCGCCATGAATGCTGTGGAAGCGCAGGGGCACCTCGCTGTACAGCGTCGTGTTCGAGATGGTCGAGTTGCCCGTGTCCGGGCTGCCGCACTCCGAGGTGTCCACAATGCTCGCCTGGGCCGCCTGGCCGTACAGATCGATTACCCCGTAAACACGCTCGGGGACATTGCTGGCGGCAGGCCCCTGGTCCACGCCGTTCACCCAAAAGTGCAAAGTGCCATCGTCCTTGCGCACCACGCCCACGCGATCGCCCACCTGCAGGCGGTCCAGATTCTGGCCATATTGCTCGATTACAGTAACTCCATTCTGCATGACCCCATTGCCAGTCATCATCCACGTGCCGGATCTACTTATTAAAGGGAATACTTTGTATTGGACGCTTCTATAGCGGAATGGAATGGAAGACTCACCGAACATTGGTCATGGTAAAGGGAAAGTCCAGCTCGTCGGCGGTGTGCGTGGTCACGCCCATTTCCACAGACCCAGCCCACTTGGTGACTACACGCTCGAGACGCACCTGAAAGAGTTCGTTCGGCCGCAACGGACGTCGCGTGAGGACCACTCCATTGTTGAAGTCATCAGCGGCACTGCCAAAGCGAAGGTAAAATAGGTAAAGAAGAATAGTTGGGGGGAAACTCAATGAAAATCACTTATTACTTACTTGGGACGCAGAGCTGTGCGGCCGCTCTGAGTGACTGTGGCATGAGTGCCGCATATGTGATGGAATGTCAGGCGGTCATCGTTCCGGGCAATGGCCCGTGAGCTCGATATGGTCTCGCTCAGCCCACCAGCGGCCCCAGCCACAATCATTTCACTCTCCGGACTGAGCAGACTCAGAGTGGGAGTGCCCGATGATTGCTGCTGGAGCTGCTGCTGCTGCTGAAGAGTGCTGCTGCCAGAGCAGGAGCTCATGCCGGCCACGATGTTGTTGCGCCTGGTGACGAGGTTTTGCTGCTCGCGCTCATCGCGATCGACAATGGTCACCTTGATGGTCATGCCATACAGATCGATGACGCCCCACAAAGTGGAGGCCACTCGCGTGGCAGCCACGCCCTGATCCTGGCCATTGATGTAGTAGTGCAGGTTGCCATTGGCCTTGCGCATCATCCCCACGCGATCGCCCTCGCGCAGCTCGTCCAGGTTGAACTCCCCGTACTGGCGACGAGTGCCCTTGCCGTTGGTGAGAATGCCACAGCCGGACATCATGATGGTGCCCGATCGCATGTTCGTCATGGTGGCCGGGAAGTGCAGCACCGTGGGATTATGGGTGGTCACGCCCACCTCTATGGAGCCCGACCACTTGTCCACAAGCTTGTCGATGCGTATCTCAAAGAGTTCGTTGTCCCGCAGCGGACGGTGTGTCATCACCACGCCATTGTTGAACTCGTCCAGGGGACGACGGCGCTCCGCGGAACGAAAGTTGGGCGAAAGCTTGACCAGCGATCCACATCGGGTGTGGAAACGAAGGCGATCGTTGACATCATAGTAGTCGGATCCCGAAGTAGCACCCCCATTCAGATTGAGCATGGCCAGGGCCGTCATATTGGTGCCATCCACACTGACGTCTACGTTCATGGCCACATCCAGATTCTGCACAACCTGCTGCAGCGGTTGCTGCAATGGGGAGTCCAGTAGCTATGCAAAATAGTAACGGTAATGGTATTGCCGATAAAAATCAATGACTTGCTTCATTCGAACCTCTCCTGATCCGTGGGCATCGCGGGGACACAATGAAACCTGTACACAACGCCCATAGAGATCGACGAGGGCCCAGAGGGGCTTGGGCATGTTCTTGGCGGCCACGCCTTGAGATTCACCGTTCACATAAAATACGAGATCATTGCTGGAGGTGCGCATAACACCCACGCGATCGCTCTCGTTGAGAGTTTCCAGGTCCGTGCCATAGAATTCAAACAGCCGGCGACCATCCTTGCGGACATCGATGCCGGACATGACCCAGGTGCCGTTTCTCATGGCTGTGGCGCAGGCCACCAGCTCGAGATTGTCGGGAGATTCGGCTGTAACTCCAATCTCGATGCTGCCGCCCCAAGAAGTGTTCTTTAAGAAATAATTTCAGGGTATATAAAAACCATCATGTCTGCCAAGTCGCTTTCTACTCACCTTCTTCTCAATGACCACTTCAAAGAGGACATCGTCCTCCAGTGGCTCGGCACTGAAGACCAGAGCATGGCTGAAATCTCGCATCGAGCGCTGCGCCGAACGGTTGCCATTGTACAATCTGATGGAGCGGCCGCAGCGCGTATGAAAGGATTGCATCTGCATTTGGTGGCCGGCCATTGTCATTCAGCTCTGCTTTTCTGTTCTCCCGTTCGCATACCCGCAGCCGGAGGCCCAGTACAAATCAATTTTCAATCGGAATGGGCACACAGGTGAAAAGCGGGCCATGGGCTTATGATGATGCACTTGCACAGGTCGTGGGGTTGTTTGACAACCACTGAATATATTTGTTGCTATGTCTTTGCATAATTATGCATACATATTCAAAAATTGCAACAATAAACAGAGAATAAATAGTTTTTTATGTGACCGCCGCCTATCGAATCCAATAAAAATCCAACCTAATATATCGATGTAAATCGATATGCGAACCTGCATGTGGACAGTAAATATTTAGATAGAAACGGGCACACCTTTCTGTCCGTCAAATTCGAGCTGGATCAAAAAAAATAACACATTTTTCGTTGAGGACCTACGGAATTTATTGATGCACAAGCGTTGCGATGTCGTCGTCAGAGCAGCGCCAGAAGCAGTTTGACTTGCACCGCAACAAGGCCAATACCACCAGGACCAGCAACAACAGCGGCGAAAAAAATGTGAGTCCGAAGAGTTGCAAGCTTCAAACCTCATTGGAGATGCAGCAGCCAAATGTACACAGACGCGCTGCCGGATCCAATTGGCTGGCTGCCACTGCCTCGGGAAGCGAGAACAAGGTGCAGGTGGCGAAAGCGACTGAGGAAGGATCCGCACCTGAGTCCGAGCCCCTGACCAAATCGGCACGCACACGCCAGAGGAAAATGGCCCAGCGCAATCGTTATTTGTCCATGGACTGCGAGATGGTTGGAGTGGGCCACAATGGGCAGGAGGACATGCTGGCCCGAGTATCGATTGTGAATAGTGTGGGCCATGTTCTAATGGACAAGTACGTAAAGCCGCGCCAAACGGTTACAGACTATCGCACCAGCGTCTCCGGCATTCGCCCGCATGATATAGAGAACGCCGAAGACTTTGCCACCGTCCAGGACGAGGTTGTAAAGCTGCTACACGGCAAAATTCTCGTCGGCCACGCCCTGCGCCACGATCTCGCCGTCCTGAACATCAAGCATCCCTTCGAACATATTCGCGACACTTCGCGCTACAAGCCACTATGCAAGCTCGTCTCCAACGGCCATACTCCAAGTCTCAAGCGTCTCACCATGGCCGTGCTCGGCCAGGAAATCCAAACCGGCGAACACAACTCCGTGGAGGATGCCCGCTCTGCCATGGGCATATACAATCGCATTGCCGCCGACTGGGAGAAGCACCTGGAGAAGAAGCAGCTCCAGCAGCAACGCTTCTGATGCCTGCTCTCGGGTCATCTTGCATGTGTGCTTTCTAATTTAAACACGTACTGTAAAAACGAGTTTCTTTTTATTGGAAACTGTTGCCTAATATATAAAATGTTACAAACTAGCTACATTATACCCCGACTTGTTCCTCATCAACGCTGGGCCCGTGGATGGCATTGTGACGGGCCATTAAGTCGCGCCAAGGATCCTCCAGCATGGAGGGATGGAAGTATTGGGAGCCGTGATCTTTGAAGTGGTGGTGGGGCCTGCGATTGAAGCCCCCTCCACCTCGACCAAAGTTCCTACCACGGCCCTGTCCAAACGGCATTTGTTGCTGCTGCCGGGGTCGGTGCATTTGCTCCTGGGGCGCCGTGTTTTGATAGAAATGTGGAGTGTTTGGCTTTGGCTGAGCGAAACTCTGTTTGTCCTCGTAGAAGCCAAAATTGGGTTGTTGTGGTGCTTGCAGTCCGCCAGCATGCTGCGACATATACTCCGAGCCCTGGGACGGATATTGTCTCATTCCCTGGGAGTATGGCGGTAAATTGTTGAATCCCCTGCGAGGTGTACCCATCCTGCTGGTTCTTACTAATTAACTATGTCAAATTACGGATCTTTAAGCAGCAATTTAATATATTCCCTTTTCTGCTTGTTTTATAGAGGTGGGAAATCATCGATATATCTCTTGTTGTGGTTTTCTCATCTAAGCCTCTGGTCACACTTGCAGTTTTCCAAATTACCGTCGATATTAATATCGTTTGTTGTGCAGTTTTAATACGAAGCGGCGCAAAATGTGGACAACTTTTTATACCCGAGAGAGATATAGAGTGGATGAGAGATAGATTGAGAGAATGGCCAACTAAGTTGTTGGCTAAAATGTATTATTATCAAATGAAATGTTAAAGTTTTCTGCCTCCTCAACGGCGGATGGGCGTGTTAAATTTTAATAGAAGATATGATTTTCTTCCTTTCTTCGCCTTTTTCACCACTTTTTGTTTATCCTTAAAGGATGTGCGTGGGCGTGCCTGTACCCAATGCTGATTTTTTAATTGTACACCACATTCAAACGGATTCGGGACTCGTACCAATCGTTGTTCGTTGTCCTTCAGCAGGCTCAATGGGGAGCTTCTTCGTACGCTAGCAGCACGGAATTTAGCCTGTCTTAGCTATCCTGCCGAGGATGGATGCTGGATGGTAAATTCGAGAAGGACATGACTGGATAGATGGATGACATGGGACATGGACACAAAAATACCTATTACAGATACAAAGCAACCTGAACTGCTCAAAAACAAAAGAAAATTAAAAAAAATATTTAGATATGATTGAATTCGATCACTCGATGAACGTAACAGGATAGAAGGAAGATCAGATCCGGTATAGAATAGACTATCTAATGTAAACACCTTTAGGCCTCTAGGATCAGTTTCATAATTAAGCCAACAAAAATGGTACTTTGAACTATGTATATTCTATGTTTTAGAAATCATCTATTTTGGCATACGATCAATGTCGTCTTTAACACGGTTTTTTTCTGGAGCTAATCTACCGTGTAACAACAGATATAGGTGTATGAATATTTTTTTTTAAATCAAACCCCGATAAGTGTCGATTATCGCACAAAAATACCGATTATTGGGCTTCGATAGTGCTCGTATGAGACTACACTTAGCCTTACGGGAAAAGCTTGCAGTGAGAGCGAGAGATATAGAGACGTTTCTTGGATTTTTAGTCGATCTGGTGGCAACGGAGGGCGGCACACTTTTCGCCTAATTTATTTGTTTCTTGTGCTATCTATGTCTTTCAGATGCGTGAGGTAGTTTTTGGTAGTGTCGTACGATCATAAAATACTATCGCCCACATATATATCGATATATGGTTTATCAATATATATTTAACACTACCTACCGTCATTTCTTCGAACAACAACAGACGTATTTTTTGTCGAACATAGTTCACGCGTGCATATTACATTGGAGCGATTTGTTTTTTTTTAAATAATAAAATATATTAGTGAATCAAAATTTAGAACGAGCGAAAAATTAATAGCGAGAATCAAAATAACAGCAGTCGAGGAGCCGTGTTTTGGTGTGTGTGTGTGTGTGTGTGCGTTGGTGTCAAATGCAGACGGTCGCGCGGTCGGTCAAAAGTGCATACAACTGCAGTGGCATTTAGTTTACAATTTTTTTTTCTAGTTGTTGAAGTGCAAGTAAAGTTAGCTTTTTAAAAATCAAACATCTCCGCAATTCGCGTTGAACCATTTAGTCAAAACGAAAGCGGAGTGCGACGCGAACAAAGCACAAAAGGCGTCGCCTTCCAAAGGAGCCTTTCATTGAAATCTGGCTTTGTCTGTATTTGTGTGTGTGTGTTTATTTCTTCAGCAGCAGCCGCCACTTAATAAATTGTGGTTTATTACTTTTGCTTGGATTTAAAGAAAAAATTAATGTAATTATCAAAATTTAAAATGAGCAAGTTTATTTAGGAAAAAAAAATTGAAGTTTGGAAAACTCACTCGTTCGGTCGACACAACAGAAACAAAAAGTCGCAGGCCGCTAACAGCAGCAACTGCAGCAGAAGCACCACCAGGAGGAGAAAACAAAAGAAGAAAAGGCAGCCGCTTTGGATATCTTTAACGAAATCAAAGAGCAACTTTCAAGTTGCCCCGAACGCACCCGCGCACTCTGTCGCACTGTATGGGGGACCCTTTCCCTATCCCTTAGCACAGCGCTCACTGCAGCGACCATCGAAGCCGGCGACGACGGTGGCGCAGGAGCAGGACCAGGCAGAGGGGCCGGACCAGGCGGAGGTGGCGGCGCAGCGTCAGCATCAGCAGGCGGCAGCAGTCGCTTTGCCACAATAATGGGTGCAGTCAAGTCCCGCCACATCACCACTGCCGATGTGGATACAGATGATCAGCAGCACCATCCACACCACAGCTCCCACTCCATGCTGCGCAATGGACACCACAATTACAACGGTCCTGCATCCGGGGGCGGCACGCTGCAGAAGCAAGACCTGCGCTACGACATCGGCTCCAGCTCCGAGTACCATCACATCCGGCAGCCGAGCGTGCGGAGTCGCAGCCAGCAGCCGATGCCCACCACAGATGAGCTGGATCGGCGGTTCGCCAAAGTTCTGGTGAGTCTTGAGTGCGGTTTATCGCCAAATGGGAAACATTGAAAGCATTGAATATGTCTAGTGAATGGGCAGTACTTCCCAGCAGATATCACCATTCCGTAACAGACCAGGATTACTTTATTTACTAACTCTTAACAATGATTTTCATCATTTACATTTTAACCCATCTAATAGGCAGTGAAATGGGTACCCAGCTTGTAGCTAGTGAAATCGGTACCCACTTAGTTGTCAGTGAAATGTTACAGTAGGTTACTAAATTTATATATTTTGTCTTTCATTCTGTATCAGTATTAATTTGGTGTTATTTTTGTTAGGAATTCGATCATCTTGAAAAAAGCCTCTTTTTTTTTGCAGTTGAAGTGCTTTCCTTAATTGTACTTCATCTATAAAACATAAATATAATAAATAAATAAAACGCCGATTTTCCTTATTTTTGATTGCATCAATCTGTAAAAGCAACACCACATATTTACGTATAAATCTCTATTGGAGCTGCTTATTTCCTTATCTAGCTGTATTAGTTCCTAGACTGTTAATGCAGTGAACAATTTTGCGACTTTTTGCCCCTGTCCGTTTTCTATTTGAAACTGTATTCCCTGGATAACACTGTTTCTTCACTAACACGATTAAGTTAGGGTGCTCATTCCTCCTCTACTTCTTCATTGAGCCTACGTAAATACCGTTTGCAGTAAATAATGAATTGAATAGTTTTTTTTCTTACCTTTAAAGTTTGAATAATTATAGACACTTTTGAAGCGGAACTTTTTGTACTTCTCACAATGCAATATCCGAAAACAGAAAAGGAAAGGAAAAAGAGCAGGACAGCCTCATTTTTAGCTACCTGTCTTCATTTTTCTCTCATGCTTTTTCGTTCATTCGTCTACTGGCGAGACGTTGCATCCGAAACGAATTAGTTCGGTGGCTGGTGCCTGGTGGGCTGTAGAGTATACAGAGCAACATTTGTTGTATCTTCTTTGAGTTCGGAAGGTACCCATGTAGGAACCAGCCAAATAAGTAGTTCATGCATGGTCCATCGCCACCGCCGGTACTAGAGGGTTCTAATCCAAGGATTGGCTTCCTCAAGCTCCTCTCTCTCCGCTCAAGCACACGCACACACACACACTCTCCTCTTCTACCCTCCCTCGCGGTTGTTGCTTGTGATTGATGACCTCATCGACTTTTCGCTTGAATTTTGTCAGACACTCTCTTCATGTGCATGCGTGTGTGTGTGTGTTTTTGTGTGTTCAGAGGCGTACGAAAGAGGAGAGTTTATGTTAATCAGATTGCCCCATCCCTCGAAAAACAAGAATCTTCCATGTTTTCCGATCTTAAACATGTGTACGGTGTAAACTCTTTGGACACCACACCCCTCTGAAAATGTTTACCCGCCACTGCGCCAGTGTTCTCCCTCGCTTCTCGTGTGCTCTGATCTCTCTCTGGCTTGCACTCTAACTCCAAATGCAGGGCACAGTGGGATGGGAGCAGAATTATTTGGAAAACTGTATGTTATTGTGGGTGGAGTTCCCGAAACTGATGATAGTTCCTAGTTTTCAAAGTCTACCTTAACTAATTCTATGACGATTCTTAATATTGTCCCATTGTTCCCGAGGCGTGTGCCTCAACTACTTTTAAATTCGCTTGTCATCTCAGCCTCTATACACAGTTTGTTGTCTGTAAATCTCTCTCTCTCTCTCTTTCTCTTTCTGGCTCTCGGTCGGAACAAGACAACGTAATTAAGATTTTGTATTGCCAAAAAAAATTCACCAAAATAGTAACAAAAACAGAGGAAAAAAAGCTCTCAGCTTTGACCGTCATAAAACTATAACAAATGAGAGTGAACCAGCCATTGGATCCCCTCCCCCCTTTGTGCCTCTGTCGTTCTCTCAGCCTCTCCAATTCGGCATGCTAATGGCAATTAAAGCAAATTGATCGATTGTTGCCCTCTCTGTCCCTCTTAATGCCGTTACTATGACATTGCTCTGCGCCAATGCTGACTCACTCCGCGCTAAGTTCCTCTCTCTCTGTCTCTCCCCCTCTCTCCCTCCGTATGACTCTTTGTGGCTGCTGGAGGCTCATCGGCGCGGCTCGGCCTGGCTCGGCTCGGCTCGGCTTATCTCCCACTGGAACGGAACGAAACAGAAAGGGGAGACGAGCAAAGAAAAAAACAAAAATCTTTATTTATACTCATATGCACGGCCCTACTTGTCGGTTATCGTAAGTCATGTTATACTGACTGAGAAATATGCTCCTCCGACGGGTTCCGTGCGGGGCTTCCCTTTTTTACGTATGTACATATGTATGTACGTTGGCATTATTCCATATTGGGGATCCGATCTTTTGTTTTCATCTCAGGGTTGTAAATATGGTCCTGGGCATCTTGATTTGGGATTACGGATGTAAAGACGGTCGGTTGTTTATTGGGAAGCACGCTTGTGTGTACATTTAAAATATAAAATATATATAATACATAAGCATGTACTACTTCAAGGGTATCCAA